TAGCCTTTTTTAAATTTCACCTTCAGTTCCTCGTTGGTGCTGAGCTCAAGTAGCTCCTCTTGTAATACCACATTCGCCTCTTTTGTTTCATCAAATGAGGTTATGATCCATGGTGGTATTTCCATCGTCAGAATATCTTCAAATCTATTTTTGAAGTCATCAAGCAGGGTATTTAAATGCGAACGGGCGCATGGACGGCACTTTGCAAGTCTCGACATGCGGTGTACACTTGTACTATTATCTATTGTTCTATTCAATTCTGTGCTTGAACTGAGTCTCGAATATTTTTGAGTACCTAGCTAGTGAATGATGCTACCTGCCTACGTTGATAGGTAAATCCAAGCCACAATTTTTGTTCTTTATTATGAAAACTAGAAAATTTTTCGTGGACCCCCACTTACAACTTGTGAACCCCTGTTTTCTTCTCATGTCTACGTGGACCCCCGTGTGGTCTCCTATGGACCCCTGGGGGTCCACCTGGACCACTTTGGGAACCTATGATTTAAATCAACGAACCCTGCTTAATTGTATAAAAAATAATGGAATCTTATGTTTTTAGAAAAAAATTTTCTGGGATAAAATTATTTCTTATTAAAACAATGACAAATGTCCCCATTTAAACTATAATTTTTTGTTTTCTTTCCTGACAATCTTAGCACTAATTATTCTATTGCTATATTAATTTGTATGTGTGTTTTATAAAAATGTAAAAAATTTTTGTTATTCATATGAACAATAACTACTGCTTTTTTAATTTGCTGAAATTAAGACAGCTACCACATAATTTCAGCATCAAAAACTTTGCACCAATTTCCATTATAAGTTAGTCCTAAATTTCCTCAGCTGTCTATTTTTTTTTTAATGTATTAAAAAACTAGCAAATATATGATAAATTTTTTAATAATTTTTTTAATAAGGCAACCATTTTTAAAACTAGTAAAAAAATGTGTTTTAGTAATTATTGAACAAAAACTATTTTCTGCTTAAGTAATATAATTGTGTTAATTTCCATTGTTTTTTTTTTGTGTTCCTAGACAAAAAATTATGTGTTCCTAACATACATTATTAAAAGGATAATTAGAACCCATTCAATTATATTTTAGATGTTTAAAAAAAAAGGAGTAAAATAGCATTTAGGAGATACGGAAACCTGAAAATATTTTTTTTCTGAACATTGAAAACTGCCTCATGTAATGACTTGAATGATTTATTGTTTAATAGATTTAAAGTAAATCGTAGCAAGCTCTGTGGTCAAGCTCATCAATTATTTTGATACACCTTTAAAAAAGAAAATGTTTTGGTTTGCTTAGGAAGTTATTGTATAATGAAATTTAAAAGTAATAGTATTTAATGATATTTTTTCAAGGATAATTGTTAAATCATGTGGTGTTGCAATAATATTGCAACTGCCATTTTTGGCAAATATTACATTAAATATCAATAATTTTTATTGTCTTATTTTTCTCTTGCCTTATAATCTTTGATTTCATTAATAACTGCTATAACTTTTTTAACTTTATTCCAGTTATGCATTTAATCTTACTTTTCAATTTGCAGTGGTATACCTAAGTATCTTTAGGTATTGATGCAAAGATATAGAATTTGTCTCCAACCCTAAAATAGAAAAAAATTAATAAAAATAAAATTTGTAGATCTCTTTGCCTATGCACTTGTTGCTGAATTTTGTGCTTAAGTAATTTAAAATTCAGAAAAATGTTTTGTTTAACAATAAATGTTTAATTTATCCACCATAGTGTTCATTTTCACCATCTTGGTTGATAATGACAATAAAAAGCTTATTTGTGCAGAAGAAAATGAAATTATTGTATATCTCAATGTATAAGTTTACGTTATACATTCCCCCAACATTTTACATAAATCAGAAGGTAGACTATACACCAGTAACAAAGGCGTACATTCAATCATTGAGAAATATCATTGCATTATAAACAATGAGATAGATATGAATAACCCTGTATCAATTTACACTTTTTAAAAACTATTTTTAATATGTTGTGTACAATTATGCATTTTCTCTCATCATATTTTCTTTACATGTAGAGTTTTTTTTTTTTTTGGTAACAATACTTAAAATTGCATTTAGAAAAAAACTAAGAGCAAGGGAACTTAAGATAATTGATCAAGAATATTTCAAAAATATAACACAATAAAAGCTTTTAAAACATACTATAAAGCTACAAATTTAAAGATTCCTGACCATCATCTGTGTCGGATTCTATAACGTTTGCACCATTGCCTAATGGATCCTACTTTGTGATTTTTGCTTTGATTGCTACATATTTAACATATATATTAATTTGCCAAGGTTATATGTAATAAAATATTTTTATGTTATAAATAAATACTCATATGTGGTACACTATACCACAAGTATTAATCACAAGTCATGGTTCTTTTAAAACCATTAACAAAGTTTTTATATCAATTCTTCATTAATTTATCCTTGATAGCAGGTGAGTTGGGCACACATACCAAGGTAATATTGAGGAGATTACAACTGAAAATTTTGAATCTCCTCACTGCTAGAAATTGTGTAGAGTTTAGATTTTTTAACTTTAAAATGTAATATTATTAAATTTTATGTTATCTGAATCTTTTGCAAAGACTTCTCCAGTATACTAAGCTTCTCATAATAATTTTTCTCTTATTTTAGAGATATTTGAAAATCACCCCATAAGAGATAAAATTAGTCTCCATTAATTTGTTCATATACATTTGTTCATGTATTTCTCAAGCAGTTTTGTTTTCTTTATTTTAGGTCTTTATGGAAAACTTGTTATGTGTTTCGAGAAGGGAGAAAAAGTGGAAAAATGACTTTTAAAGGAAAAGTATATAATTTCTTAGAAAGGCCTACTGGATGGAAATGTTTTGTATATCATTTCACTGTGTAAGTATCTCCTAAATTTTCTCTGGCATAGTCTGTAGCTTATTTGGTTATATTTTTATTTGATTTTAACTTATAATTTTATTTGATTTTAACTTATAATTTTGAGTTTAATTTATGGAAAACTTCGTATTATTATATTAGAGAGAAATGATTTAGTATTACTTTTCAATATTTACATGATATATCTCAATTTTAATTTCATTGTCTATTTATTTAAGGGTTCATGTATTTTTTGAAGAATTATGCTCACAGCTTTTTACCAAATAAAAAAAACATTGATGCATTATGTTTATCACGACATGCCTACAAAAAGTTTTAAATAATAATTGTTTTGTTTCAGGTTTTTAGTTGTGCTTGTATGCCTTATCTTTAGTGTGCTGTCAACAATTGATCAATATGCAGATTTTGCTATTGAAACTTTGTTTTGGATGGTAAATGATTGTTACCTTTCTTATTTATTGTAATTTCTATCATTACATTGTATCAGAAATTTAAAATGTGTGTAGAGAGTGCGAAAAAATAAACTAAACACCTTGTATAACTTTTGCTCTAATGTTCGAATCTTTCCGTTCTTGAACTTTATCTTATTGGTTCAAAAAAATGACCTCAAATGTACTAATTAGTAAGAGTACATGATGTCAATAATTTGAAAATTTAAAATATTTCGAAAAGTTATTGTAACTAATAAAGAAAAAGTGCTTAATTTCAATGAAAAATTTCAAACAATAGAAACTTAGTCCTGGGAAAATATTAGTCTTTGAGAATTTGCTGCATCCCTTGTTTTTATTGACTGTTGTCAACCTGAAATACATTCTGTGGAAGGACTTCACTTATTCTATAGTTTACTTTGTTAAGACTTACTTACTCCATTCTTATTGGGCAACTTTGTATTATCAAGTAAATTAAATTATTATTTTTTAAAATTGTAAAAATATTTATCCTGTCTTGTGTATGTACANTTAATTTTTTTTTTTTTTTTTTTTTTTTTTTTTTTTTTTTTTTTTTTTTTTGATAACCAAAAAATATCTTTTAGGAAACAGTTTTGGTTGTGTTTTTTGGAGTAGAATATTTTATACGCTTGTGGTCTGCTGGTTGCCGAAGTAAATACATGGGAATTTGGGGTCGATTGAGATTTGCAAAAAAGCCAATTTCAATTATTGGTATATAGTTTACATTTTTATAATTAGTTTTTTGGATAATAACAATTATTTATGAATACTATATTGTTTGTAGATCTGATTGTTGTGGTTGCATCTTTGTTAGTTTTAGCTGTTGGTTCAAATGGTCAAGTGTTTGCAACTTCAGCAATTCGGTAATTTCTTCTCTATATTATATGATGTTGAATTCCAGGTTTATAAAACATTATTTCAATAAAACATTATTTCAAGTAATGCATTTGTTTTTTTTTTGTAATTGAAATTAGCTTTTTTTTTCTCTATTTACAAAAAAATCATTTTCTTTTAAAACAATTCGCATTTTATTATAATCAAAACATTTTATTGGTCATGATTGCTCATGCCATTATTATAGCTATTCATTTTATAAACATTAGTTAACAAATTACTGTAATGATTCAAATTATCTTAGCTAATTATTTGAAAAGTATCTGAATGCTATTCGCAAATAGCTTTATAAATATTAAACATCTCTTGTGCCATTTAACTATTCTTCACTCTACATCTAATTAATAGTTTCCATATTTTATTTTTACCTGACAGAATTACATTCCTTTATTCTTATTGCAAAATTAGTAAAACTCGTTAATGGATAAAATGAAGCTTATTTGAAAAAGCTGACTTGTTAGCTTATTAAATAATCTGATCTAGATAGTTAGCATTTTATAAGTGTTTAAATGAAGAAATCAAAGATGTAAATATGGGTTAATAAAAATGAGTTTTGTTTTGGAAATAAAGATGTTCTACTTTAACCTTGTAAAAGTATAATATATATAATTTTTTTTTTTTTTTTTTTTTTTTGGAAAGAGGGACAGTAGTGACAAGAAATAAAAATATTTTCACTTTTTAGCTGATTTGAATCCAAAAATCATTAACTTATAATCTGAAAATTTAATATATTTCACCTGTAATAAGGAGTCATACAACTGATTCAGTCCTTTTTAGTTCAAATATGAGATCTTTCTGTGGTCAATTTAAAAATATTTAAAATGAAGGACGGTTGTGACACGTAAACTAAGAAACAGGGTTTTTCTAACAAAATGTGAAATAAAAAACAACAAAAACTTATGAAAAATTTTTTTTAGTAATCTATATAGTTATGCAAATGATATGCATAATCTATATTTATTGTGCTTTGTGTTGATACTTAAAATTTATTTTAAATCCGTGATCACAAGGTTACTGACAAGTGACAAAAGTGAGATTTTACATATTAAATTTAAGTTGTCAATAATAATATTTATGATTTAATAAATTGCTTAATTTATTTCTTTATTATTTTTTTTAATGAATTCAATTTCTTCTACAGGGGAATACGCTTCCTTCAAATATTAAGGATGCTGCATGTTGATCGCCAAGGGGGAACTTGGAGACTTTTAGGTTCAGTCGTATTTGTTCATCGCCAAGTAAGTCAATAAGTTCATTCTTTTAAATATTGAAATTTAAGATTATGTTCATTATTGTATTCAATAGTCTTTTTGTTTAGTTCAATGGAAACTGTTATGCATTTACTAACAGTGAATTAATGAAGAAATAATAAATTTTAAAATTGCCTCAAAAGTTATGAATTTCTACAATTAGTTTGCTATAGTTGAAAAAGCAACAATTTTTCTCTTAAATTTAAATATATGTTATAATTTTAGTATGATGCAAATTTTAAGAAACTAAAAATCATTGATATTTCTGTTCTATGTTCAGGATATTATAATTAAGAATCACAATGCAAAACATTAGGCTTAAGATCTATTAATCACATTATACTTTATTGCTTATATTCATACATTGATATAAAATGTCTGATATAAAATGTCTATCTTTTAAAAGATAATTTTATTGTGATCATAACACCACAATGATATTGATTAAAGTACTCAATTATTTCCATTATTTGCCATACCTAAAAAAAAACCTAGTAAATAAGAATTGTTGATATCTAACTATTTTAAAAGTTTTTTGATTGTTATGTCTCAATGTTGTTGTCTCTCAAGTATGTTGTCTTTTTTTTAAAAATTTTTATAGTCAATAAAAGTTTCTTAATATTTCTTATGTTGTGTTAATAAATTTTTATGTTTTTTGCTTCATATAGGAACTCATTACTACATTATACATTGGATTTTTAGGCTTAATTTTTTCTTCATACTTCATGTATTTAGCTGAGAAAGAAGATATAGGTATAGTTGGAAAATCAGATTTTACCAGTTATGCCGATGCCTTATGGTGGGGAGTGGTAAGAAATGAGCCTGCCCTTTTGCTTGTTTGTTTTTGCTTTTATTAGTTATTTTGCTTTCATTTTTTTTGCTTTTGTTTTCCCAGACACAGTTTTTTATGATTTAAAAAGAAAAATGCCAACAATATTCAATCTCATTAACTCATTCTCATTGTGTGTAGTTTTTCATGATTGATGTAATGGTTTACATATCTTTAAATATCATGGGGCATTTAAGCTATTCTTTTAAATATGTTATAATATATTTTTGGGGGAATTTTTTTTTCTTTCATAGACTAGTATATTTTACTTCAGATTTTCATAAATAACTTTTAATTTTTTATAAATAATTTTTGATTAAACAAATGTATATCAACTGTAATTAGCTTAGTGTTTTTGTTAAATAAAAGAAAATATATATCTAGTAATTCTATCAGATTTTTGATAGTTTGTATAAAAATATTTCCATCTGGTTGATTGAAATTATCAATAGTTTGATTATTGATACATTTTTGAACTAAATTTTCGTGATTTCTCAAATTTAATTGTTTTTTCTCTTGATGACTTTGAATTCACTTGAGAACTTGCAACTAGGCAATGATTCAAAATCTACTGAAAATCATATAAATTAGTTAAATTCTTAATGTGTTATTCAGAGATGTATGATATTAAGCAAAATGCATTTTTTTAAGAAAAGTTATTTTGTAAAAAGAAAATCTATAGATAATAAATCTCTGATGATAAACAAAAACCACTAGGGTAAGTTTAATGTTATAAAAACATTTTATAGCTAACCGAATTAATTGATATTTAATACAAATGTTATTAATTGTATTTATAGGAAAAAAATTTTAACCTAATTTTGAAAAAGGGTCATACTAAAACTAATGTGTTGCTCAATCATTAAAAACAGAAACAAATTTGATATTTTTAAAATATTTTTCTTTAACAACAATTAAATAATATATTTAAAGAAGTTTGATTAAGCAAATTAATTATTTAAGTATCAGTTCTTCCTTTTAAGCTTCTGGATTAACTGTAATTGAAATAGGTTTCTTCCCGTTTTTTCAATTAAAAGGTATGGTTTAGAAAATAAAATTTTGCCTGGAATTATAAGGCTTACAGAATAAATATAATTTTTTTTGAATTAATAGAATTTTGTTGATAGACTAGCAACTAACTAAAATAGTTTTAGTGTAGTTAAATTTTGTTCATTATTTTTTGCATAACAGCTCAAAGTGGATCACTGTCTTTTGTTGAACACTCCTTCAGCACAGCCTATTTCTAGACCTGGCCTACCAGTTCTCCCTAATTATCATAAAATCTGATTCAACAGAATTGTGCCATCAGAGTTTTAGTACTTCTGCTAGAAAGACTTTTCTTCAAGAATTTTCTTTACTGAATTGCTTTACACCTATTCTAACAATATGAGATGAAAAGTTCATTATTTTAACTTTAGTACTTTTGATAATATTGGTTTCTTTAAAAATTTTATAAATTTTCAAGTTAAAATGTATTTGCCAACGATCATTTAGGATTCTTCTGAAAACCTTCTTCTCAAAGATTGTAATTTTGTGATCTAAATATTTAGTTAAAGGTTAAATTTTTGAACCATATATTAGGCCCAACCTAATTAAGAGTTTTATTGATAAGAAGCTTCATTTCTTTGGAGAGAAAATAAGACCTCAATGAAGTGTGAAGTCCAGAAATTGTTTGCCTTTTTGATACCATTTTTGACTTTAAAAATGCAGTCTTTAGTGTTAACTAGGACTGGGCGATATAAGAAATTTTATATCGTGATGCATCGTCAGTTTTGCATCGCGATATAGTATTTTTGAAATTCATTTACTTGTAAGGCGCAGAAAGTCGGATTTCTATCAAAACTTCATACTCAGATTGATTTAAATCAATTTATGAATTTGATGTATATGTTTTGCTTAAGAAAGATATTAATGTTATATTTTCTAAAAATGATCGCGCAAATAACGAAAGATTTCTTAGTTTAAAAATAAATAATAAAAAAATAAATAAAATTGAAATTTATCAATATATTTACCTAACAATATAGAAAGAAAATTTAAAAAATAAGTTCGTTAAAAATTATTTGTATGCTTAAAACAAAGTGCTAAATAAAATAAAAAAAAAAAAAACACTTTTAAAACAACACTATTTTTTATCATTATTATTTCACATAAATAATAAAGTTAAATTGAATAATTACCGAATTCTGAACGAAAAAACAAAGTAAGGTTTAATTTCTTGCAAATAAAAACAAAAGAATTATGATATTCGATAATATATTCAACTGACAATATTGAAAGAAAATTAAAAAACACGATTATACTCTTTAATAAAACAAAGTGTTAAATGATTTTAAAAAAAGAAGTCGCAAATGCAAACATTACTAGTTTTTTTGAATAAACAAAGTTGATTGACTTATGTCCAAATCCAAAAGAGGAAAAATAAGTTTTATAATTTTATTTATAAAAATGAAAACAACTAAAGATTTATAAATTTAAAATCAATAATAAAAACCCATTAAATTCTTATTTTATCCAAAAAGTTTATAGTAAATTAAAATAAAGTAAAAAACAGCCTAACAAATTTAATTACTTTTTAATTTAATTCTATGTGGACACCTTAAATTAGATTTCCGTTTGTAATAAATTCAATGATGTAAAATAATACTTAAACATATAATATCAAAATAATTTTCACATTTAAAAGTAAAAAAGAAAGTTTTGTTTCAAAAAAAAATTTACCTAATTAATTAAGAAACACTTCTTTATATATTCTTTTCAATAATAGATTACGTTCAGAATAAGGTAACGACGGCGATCACAAAGTCAGTCCCACTGAAAATAATCTACAAGAAACGATATCAAGTCGTGACAAAGAAGAAAAAAAAAAACTAAGAGGTGCGGAAACGAACATGTGAGATCACGATATATGTTCTCAAAACTTATTCTACTGCTCATCCATCAAGGCTGTTTCAATATAACGATACGAATATCGTCTTCCCCATTGCGAGTTGGCATCGGAACGTGTCTTGCGTGTCTTGTATCACTATATCGTTCGTCTTCTTTACTCGAGGACTTAAATCAGATTTCTGATACATCACCTGGAGCGAAAGTCGCTGTATCGGCCTGCCGATACAGGCGTTAAATCGATCCGTCGCGATATATCGATTTATAGCCCAGTCCTAGTGTTACCAAACTATTCCCATGAGAACCAATTTTCAGGTGTTTCAGTGTATCATGTGATTTTTGGTACTGGCTGATTTGGTTTTAGAGTAATTTTTTGTCATTCCTGTATGATTTGTAGATACCTTTAAAGAGAACGCTTCTTTCAGGACATGCATAAAAAACTCCTTTTCATTTTTAATTTCATAGCCTTTTAAATCTCCAATTTTTCCCCCGCATATCTTGCTACATTCTCAAGGTAGTGTGAGTTTCAAAGATTAATGACCATATGGCTTTCTTATCATAATTAAAATTAAATGTTTTTATTTTTAAACCATTATGCTACAAAATTTCGTTTCTTGTTAAGGTTTAGTGTTCACTTATTTTTTCCTAAATTGATTTTTTGCATTTTTATTGGAATGTTTCTATTACAAAAGATTTTAAAACATACTATGAGACAGCATTTTAATACAATACACTTGTGTATGGTTTACTTATATATGATAAAGTTGGAAAATTGTATTATTTGGATCATCAGTCCTTCAAACTACTTTCTTTGAAATCTGAAAAAAAAACTTTTTTTTTTTTGCAGTTTTCTGTACATTTGTGGAAAAAAAATATATTCATGTTCTTGCATCTGGAGACCATTATTTAATATATTTTAAACATGAATTAGCAATTATTAAATTGTTTTTTTATAATTAAATCTTATTAAACTTCATCCTTAAAAAATGATTTATAATCTAAATTTTAAACAAAAATAATATATTGAAATTCTTAGTTTTTTTTTTAATTTAGTATTTATCAAAATAAACCATGTTGGCATTTTTTTACTCTTTCTATATGATTTTCCTTCACAATGAGTGCATCTTAATCTTTCAGGCTGATCTTAATCTTCATATGTGCTGTCAGCAATTTTGACTGCCAGTGTTGTTGCTTCTTATGATTAACTTCTTTGCTGATGAATATACAATGTATATTTACACTTCATCAGAATGTGTACGTGAATGCACTATAAAGTTAGAATGAGTTGCAGTTGTTGTTGGTAATTTATCTTTATTTATGCATTACCCTGCTTTTGTGATATTAAAATGTGTTTGTTCTATGTAAAACTTGTATTTTCTGAAAGCATGTTATTTATGTACTGTTATTTATGTTTTGCTTTTTATTACTCAGTTATTGAATCAGTCTTTCCCTTTAAAAAAAAAGAAATATACTATTTGAAAATGTAATAATCTACTTTGATTGCATAAAACATCATTAAATTGTTTGTACATAGTTTTTTGTCAATTTAATTATAAATTTCTAACTCTATTAATTTATTATAAGTTTTTGATTTGCAATAGTTATATTTTTCACAACATTTAGTAATTAAGTTTGACTATGTATGTATGTTAAAGTCAATTTAATTAATAGGTTATTATTAATAATTGCTAGTTATTGTTAATAACCAAATAAATCGGTTAAAGTGAATAATATATCAGAATTTATCACAGTTGCCTGTTATTATTAATAATTACCTATGAAGTTTAGTGAATGATATAATTTTCATTGCATTTGTCAAAAACTTTTCAAAATGCATGCATAGTGGCAATTTCCTATGTCATGAGCTGTTATGAATTTTATACAAATTATTTAATCTGTATTTGTAGAATATTAAAATTTATAAACTCAAGATTTGAAAAATTATCATTCATCAATTATTTGATTATCAATGTATATTTGTGTAAAAAACAAATTGAAGATTTAACGCTATTATTTTAAATTAAAACAGAATGAAAAATCTATATTTCAAGTAATCCTTAATTATCTTTAAATCTACTGAACTCCAGAATGACG